TTTTTTTTTCTTTTGCACTTCCGGTGGCACTTCCGGCACTTCTGTTTAGCTTCGCATACGCGCCGCATTTGTACGCGCGAACTTTCGTTTCTTCTAGAGTGAGCTTCTAGAGCGAGGAACACGACGTACGTACGCGTGTAGACACGTCACCGTTCCGGATAGTATCCGCGAGGATTCTAGTACGTCACAACATCATATATATATATTTATATATGTATATATATATATTTATCTACTTAAATATATATTTTTCTTACTCATCCACTTCATTTTTCATTTATATATATATATATATATCCTTCTCTTCTGTATATATACCTATATGCATGAGAGTGTGTGTCTGTGTGTCTATGTATCGACGCGCATGTACTCCCCCCCCACCCCACCCCTTTCCCCTTACATCCTACAGTTTAATCGTAATTTATCCGTAACTTACAACTAATAGTGAATTCTTTGTCGTTCTCGATTTTTTTTTACATCATTCTGCCTTCTTGTTACTCAAAAGGGCGCATTTTTCTCCCTCCTCCCTCTTTCCCAACCTGTGATCCGGGATGACGTCCATATCTCTAAAATATTTTCGTCTAAATGCGCGCGAGATGATATTTGAAATTTCCACTTCCAACCGCACAGTCTCTGATTTAAAATTTTTGTCCCTTATTCTATTTAAAAATTCCAGATCAACACGCTAAAATGTCTTGATTTGTCTCTCAGTAGAAAATTTAGTTGATTATCCGTTCTCAATTAAAAAAAGCCTGTAAAGAGCCATATTTGTCCACTTACGTCACGTTGCACGCGTGTATAGGATTTACGTTTTATTTTCAAGACGTTTTATAATACCGTACGATTTTTCATTTGTTCGCGCGAGACTGTGGAAAAGAGGGAGAGAGACGGAGGACACAGAGGTAAGATTCTATCCCTTCAATGGTGCCGAGCTACCCCTCCCATTATCCCCTCCCCCACCCCGAGCGTCGATGTGTATCAATCAATTCGATCATCGAGCGTTGCTTAGCGATAATCGTTATAGCTACCGACAGCTCTCTAAAATACCTATCGTTATTACTATCATTATTATTACTAGTTTCATTATTATTACTTTATTACTCTTATTATTATTAATTTTATTATTATCATTAACGTTGTTACTAATCATTTGTTTAGCGTTAATAAATATAATTTATTAAATATAGGAACCATGTTTCTGGGTCTTGCTTGCTCGTTCGTGCATGCGAATCGTGTCGATGACGGGCACACCGGGAGTTTCTTACGCTGCCACATATATACCGTCGTTTTTTCCCTTTCGTCCGCCATCTTATTACATTTTTCTTTTTTATCAAAATGGGAACTAAGGAACGTAAAAAAAAACGTATGTGCCAAGCCCGTTTGTACACGTGTGTACAGTGCGCGCCTGTCGTGTGTGGTGTGTGTATGTGTGTGTGTGTGTGTGTGTGTGAAAAAAGTGGCTGAGAAGAGTATCGTGCGTGTGTATGTGTATTTTCTTGAATTTTTTTCCTTCGTGTTTCGTCGCTTTCTCAAAAAGCGTTTCTTTTTTTTTTATTACCCTTTTCATCGCCATCGAAGTCGCTGAACGATTCGCGACACACATACATACACACGCATGCACGCACGCACGCATGCACGCATATCATCCGCACGCACGCAGATCCACATTCACACAAGTCCGTGGACAGATCCACGTGCATACGGCGCGTCAAAACGAGAAAGAGAGTGATAGAGACAGTCAGATATCTATATATATATATATATATGTATATGTGTATATATATATAGATGTATGTATATATATATATATGAATATGTACGTACGTATTCGTAACGATGGCGGCGTTTTTAGTTTCGCGCGCCGCGCACCATCTACCCTACTACGCCGCGCCTAATAGCGTCCGCTTGTATCTTCCTGCTTCTCTTTTTCTTTTCTTAGTAACTCTGCTTTAAATCTTTATTATTACTTTACATAGGAACGTTTAAGTTAGCCCACCTCGACGCGCGTCGTTCCGCGTCGCACGACGCACTTTCCCTCCGGAACTTGCCGTACTCTCCTCATCACCTGGAAACATACCGCGCACATCGTTCCGAGAAGTGCGCCCAAGATCAGCTCGATCCGATCGAGCCACTGACTGGTCGATCGACCGATCGACCGTCCGACCGACCGATCGACCGACCGGTTGTTGGCCGACCAGCAAGGAGCAAATTTCTCGATCGCGCTCGTTCGATCGTTCCGCAGTCGATTCCACCAGCTGCTCGTCCTTCGTCGAGTCCTTCTCTCTCTGTCCTTTTGCTACCTTTTTTTATTATTAATTTTTTTTCTTTTTCTTTCATGCTACGAGAGGAACTTTGGAGAGCGCGCATTTTCACGGCGCGCGCTGCGCGGGATTCGCGTTACAAAAATAATAGGCGAACCGCGGGGGGCGGGGGCCAGAGGGCAGGGAAGTGATTGGAGGGTGGTTATGTGCTGGCGGTGCATAAACGACGAAATTAAGAGAGAGAGAGAGAATCAATGACCGTCCGCCATCCGCGCCTGAGTAATGTACCTCCCTTTCCTGCCCCCTCTCCTACCGCCACGGGGCAAATGCCCCCGACGGGGTGCATCACCGAGATGGACACTCCGTGCTTGCCCGTTAATCGCCGGTTAGGAACATTGGCTCGTTCACTGCGACGTCCTCGGGTCCGACCTTCTCCAAGTGACGTCTATAGGTTCTCGTCTCTCCCTCTTTTGCCCATTTTTCCCACTTTCTCCTTTTGCAGTCTCTACAGTTCTATTCTAGTTATTTGCTGCCATTTTGTGCGCAACCTTCCTGTTTTTGAGAGAGATGGTAGACCAATCCCCGAGTTTCGATATGATGGCGTTTAACGTGCACCGGCGAGGGCGGTGACTTCTTGCACCAGCTTCTGCCGCTTGGCATCGGGTCCATTGTTGTTGTCCTGACTGCCGACCCGGTCACTGGCCTGTGGCTGACCAGTCGTACTCTCGGCGGCCGCGCGAGCCGCCAATAGGGTGATCTGATTGACGACGTCCTCCATCTCGTCGGTGAGCGGGTTCGTTTCCTCGCCAGATTGCGCGCCGCCGTCATATTGTTGTTGCTGTTGTTGTTGCTGGCGCTCTTGGGCGGCCTCGAGACGCACCCGGTGCTGCAGTGTCTCGGCGTGACGACGCCACTCGCTCACAGTGGTGTAGGTGCGCGTCGATACGCCGGGCTCGCACAACGAACAACAGTAACGCATTTGCACGAGGCGCAGGGCGCCGCGACGCTGCTGATTGCCCAGGTAGCAAGACCTCTGGTGTGCCAATAGCGACGTCTCCTGTGGATACGCACGGCCGCAACGGCGACAGACCAGGCACAGCTCAGTCTCCACTTCGCGACAGTGTTGGGGTGGTCCGCCTTCGTCGGTGCCACACGACGGAGCCGGCAAGCGGACCGTCTCCAGGCCCGGATGATTCGGATCCTGCTGCAGGAACGCCTGCATCAAGGCCCGCGGCACTTGTACCTGCGAGCTACCCTCCACGTGCAGCGGCATCATACCACTTCCAAGTAGACCGCCGCTCAAGCCTGCAGCCGCTACTGAAAGCAAAGCGTGATCGATTCTTGTTAGAATAGATGAAGGACTTGCTCTAACACATCGTCTGTACTACAGATTTTCTAACGAGAGTCTGACCAAAATAGATAAAAAAAAATAGAGGATAAGAACGCAGTTAACACATTCGTTTGCTTTCTTTCTTTTATAATTATTTCTTTTTTCTTTTTTCCTCATTTTACAAAAATGTATAAAATTATCGGAAATATATCTTCAAATAGATTGATCACAAGCGGCAATCAAAAGAACTGGTCCACTTTGGTCAGTCTGTGATTAGAAGATTTTGAGTCTAAGAATCCTCAAATAAGAGTCAGGTTAGCTTCAACATCAGACAATATGTTTAAATATGGTGACAATGAATATTAATGAGCAAGACAAAAGTATGCAATAACAAATATTAATATATATTTTTATAATGCTAATACAGTAAAGAAGATTTAAATTTTATAAGTTAGTTATGTGTGTAATTTTATAATTTGTATAATTTTATTTAATTATTAATTTCTTATTAGATGAGGAGTTCCGATCGCTTCTGCCATCATATTAATTACAGATTCAATTAAATTTGCCTTTCGCTGCTACATAAGTTCAGTTTCACGCATATCACGCTAAAATCATTACTGTCATTCCTATTTTATCTTGAAATTAAATTCACCCCGTTCTCGAAGCAATCGGCTCATTTTACGAGTATCAATACAAGTTTCCTATCGTGGCACTAATTTCATTTTTTCTTTCCTCAGCTTTCATAACGCGAAAGCATTTTAGCAGAGCAAAAAAGGGCAAGTGCCAGTATTCTAAAACGATACGTTTGACTTTGCGTATCAATATCTGCAAAAGATATCTGTAATTATACGGTGGTTTCTGTTCAGAATCTATTTACGAGATTATTATAAACGCCGGGATTCGCATTCGACATCAGCATAAAGAAAACGTAAAATTCTCAATGTTACCGGACTTCTGTAAGGGAAAGATAGCGGGAGGTTACATGGCATATTCGTGCGTAATTGATTTGTGCCAACTTAGTTGTCATAATAGCATCCCCGCCGTAAACGGGGGAGAATTTATGCGGAACCTGTTTTCGCCTGAGCGAGACAGGTAAATTGGTAGTTATTAGCAGGCCCGCGGGCCGATGCGCATTGACGGGATAATTCCTGCGGCCGTCTCGAGGGGCCAGAGAATAGTCCGATAGTCCATGTATCGAGAGGGTCCCCGCGATGTGCCTCGGCAGGATGATTAATTCTAATTTCAGGATCGCATCACGCGCCGCAGGATATATATGTTGCTCTTTTTCTTTCTCTTCAAATTTCCTTCTTATTTATCGAATAGAAGGAAAGGTTGAGTAAACGGATAGGAAAGCGTAAAAACGTGTCACCGAACTAGTCCGGGTGACACGTTTTAATCGGATGCGTGACGCAACGTGAGCGCGTCGCGAGGACCGAGAGAAGGACGCGGCACGTCGACGTCGATTAGACGGGTTGACAGGTTTACGCAGTGACGCGCGCGGTAATATCGCGCGCGTATCGTGTATCAGATGAGGATCGTTACGAGGCAGGAAGTGTTAATGATACCCCTGCTCATTCGTTGAACGCCCGGTTGTAATTATCGGAGCTGGTGGGAGGAAGACGAGGAGACGACAAGGAGAACAACGGGGGAAGAGCTCTTTCCCTCTCTCCCCTTTTCCCGCCCCCCCTCTCTCTCTCTCTCTCTCTCTTTCTCTCTTATTATTTAACTACCCATTTCTGTCAATGTAGATTAATTTTAGCGTAACATACTTTTTATCCTTTTCCAGTTTTAAAAATTAAACGGGATTAAAGTTAATCTACATTGGTACATGAAAATTAATTGGATTAAATTTTTAATTATCGTAGTTTGCACGTTTTTTCTCTTGTATTTTTGCTGCCTTCATATTTTTCTTTCAATCTTATTTTATTATTTCTGTTTAATTTTCTTTTTTCTGCATCTTATATACTCTCTTTACATTTGAATTCTCTATTAACAATCACCAGTTTTTGTTTATTATAATTATAATTATAATATTTATTTTAGCGTTTGAAGAGATGCCATCTCAGAGGACTTAGTAAATACCAGTTTATTTTTCACTCTCTCTTTCTTATTTTTTTCCTCTCTCTCGTTCCTTTGATTTATCTCTCAATGTTAGTATGGAATTGATCATTATTATTAGACGGCGGGACTGGAGTATCAGAACTCCGTCCGTGGTTCCGTTCTTCCTTTGTCGTCTAATGAGAATCCCTGGCACACGCATGGCAATCCACTGTTTGACTAACACTTCTTCTTCTATCTTTCTGCTTCTCTCACAATCAGTTAGATACCTCGCTTCTTCGCTCTCTCTCTCTCTCCCTCGCGTATCTCGCGCGCTCACGTGGATTATGGTTTACCTCGATCGAGCGAGCAAATAATCCGCGTTTTTATGTTCCGCCATCGAAAGAGCCCTTCTCGGAAAGAGGAGGCACGGCCGTATGCAGTAAAGAAGGGAGAAAAGTGTTACGGATAAATAGGGGATTAGCGCAACAACATTGGACACGGTGTATAGTTCTGGTCGCTTCGTCTGCTCCCTTTACGGCCCCGTACCGTTCACGGGAATGTGGCAAATTCATTACCAGCCGATCCACGGACTCGCTCGTCCACGGTACTCTGGAGGCAGCTCGCTCTTCTTGTTTGATATAATCGGCTGAATAATGATCATCGAGCGCACACATCGCAAATACATAACGTGTACGCGGCGAACGCGATGGGTGTTATTGTAAAATTGGAATATCTCGTTGAACGAAACGCAAAAGTTATGGGGCATTGCTCAACTTAATCCACGCGAATGTTTGTGAAATGAGATTTCTTTATTATTTTTTTATTTATCTTGCAGGACTCTCACCGGCTGAAAATTTTCTTCCTACAAAACGTTAAACTGTCACTGTAAAATCAACTGATTTTATAAACGGTAGTGATACTTTACTGCTGTTTATTATTGCCATTTACTATTGATACGTACTAAAAAAATATGTACAAGGATCTGTATATATCCAGAAAAAAGACGTTCCCACTTCTTATCCGATTAAAAGTTATCAAACTGATAAATTTGTGTCTTCGCGCGGCAGTTACAGTGCACTTTAGAGAATTCTAAAAATATTTGATTATCTTATATTTTTCTAAAAATATTCTCGATAAATCAAAACGTACAGTAATAAATTGAGCTAAACGATCAGTAAAAATGCATAATTTGTTTGTATAAAAATATTTTTAATTATTAAGAGATAAAGTAGTACAGAAAGAAAAAAAAAAACATTACAGCTTATCTCTCTTTAACCATCATCAGCAGAGATTTAGTGCAGCTTACACAGTTTAGACTGCTTTCTGAACTTCGCGATAAATCATCTTTGATCCCGCGATCGCGTTCCTCTAGGGACAATGAACAATGACGTTTTTTGTTATCCCAGTGAACCTCGTGCGGCATAACTCAACCGGAGGGCACGGGAGTTGCTCAACGACGTGATTTCTTTAGCTGATAGACTTCCTTCTTCGTCGTCGTCGGCCCTCTGCCGAGCGAAGGTATTTAATATGATAAGGAAGATTGTTGAATATACATAACGCGCAGCGGCGCAGCCGGACAATCTCCGTGTGACACCCTTGAAACAATCGAAACGATCGAGGAGAGGGATTATTACTCTTAATGAGCACTGGTTATTTCTTTGAGTGGCTTTGATTCGTCCTCCCTTTTCCGTCCTCCGTCACCTTCTCCTCCACGGCGGCGGTCAACGGAGCCTTTGCTACGAGCGCGTACGCGTGTATGCGTGTACGCGTGCAAACGCGCGGAAAGAAGAACTCACACACACACACACACACACACACACGTCTCTGCACGCGCATCACTTTCATCTCGTCCTCTCGGAGGGGCTCATTTGCGTACGGATTGAGATAGTAGTGCCTTCGGTACGGTCACGATGTGTGTTTTTGTTTAAATGTGTGACCGGCGTGTATACGCGCGCGCCTCGCGCGAGATTCTGATTGCCGGCCGCTCCCAAGTCCCCAGTGGTCGTCATTGCGACGGACTCTCATTATTTAATTTCAGCATGCCACTATGGTTTAATCCTTTGCGCTGAGAATTATTCTGACCGTGATACTAATAGAACGTATTTATATGGTGCTCGGAACGTGCAGATGGCTCCTTCTTGAAAAACTGTTGGGGCTTTGTAACGCGTGTTAGAAATGCTATCTTTTTATTTATAAATAAATAATAATAAAATTCTACGTATATATTTATTGTGTTTGTATTTCGATTTAAAAGATGGTGCTATGCATGAATATAAAATTATTAATTTTTTTATGTGTGTAAACATTAAATTTTTCTATTACACGTTACAATGTATGCGTTAATTTAAATATAGTATGTTGCATTGTATTTAGATTTAATTTACTCGCGAATAATATAAATTAATTATCTATATATAAAATATGTTAAAATATGCCATGTATAAAGTAATACAAATTTTACTTCCTAAAAACTTGTGATTATTAATTACAAAATTGTTTTCTAAAACAATTGCTCTATAAGTCTTTTAATTCGATTGCTTCGTTTCATTGTTGCAGATTTGAGAAGGTTTGCTTGAGTAGATTTCTCACGCCTGAGAACCACTGGCCTCAAGATTGCTGCGACATATGCTGGAAATTTGTTCGGCGGGAATTTACGAGCGAGTTTCCGTGTCAGAGCCAATACCTGGGCTCTGTTAGTAAGTAGATATAAGTCTGTATATATCCTGGCAGCCATAAACTCGCATTCGAGGACCATCGAACAGAATAATCAGGAATGTCGTTAGTTAGCGCGTTCAGGAATTTTAACGGCTGTTCGGGAGGTACTCGCAGTAAAACGCAATCCGTCATGCGCGTCACTGTCACCGTTTGAAGTAGCATGCCATCAAGTCACGACCACTTTGCAGATCGGTATAGAGAGAGAGAGAGAGAGGGAGTATCAAACTGT